AAAAAGCATATTTGTCAATCCAAGCACATGTACTGATCATATATATCAAAAACAGGGCTGGGAATCAAAACTGCGTCGTATCCTACAAAATGTAAACAAACGCCGCCATCTTGGAACGAAAAACGTATGTTTTTGTTTATAACTCTTTTTGTTGGAAATGACTGAAAACAAGATATATGTATTAACACGCTACACTATTTCCCGCTTCGTTCGGTATATGTTGCTTGCACAACTATTTTGTAAAACAAAAGTTATAGCGAACTTGCAACTCGAAGCGGGGGAGAATTTTTATGAAAATGTGTGGATACGACGCAGTTCATATTGCTTTATCTATTGTTTTTTTTCCTTCAAATCAATTATATATTTGTTTTCGAGTTCACCATAAACTTCCAAACATAATTTTGCATCATTTACTAAAATTTCATGAAAAAGAGATGTTTATTTTCTAAGAAAATAATGATTTTTACGAAATGATACGACGCAGTTGAAAATAAAATATGATACGACGCAGTTGTATTTTTGGCAGTATTTTCAACATGGATAATTTTGGCAAATTATTTCTATTTTATGGAATAATCACTTGCGCTAGATAAAAACCCAGATCATTTGCGGTGTAAAGCAATGTTCTGTTGATTATTTAGAATACAATGTGTCATATCCAATATAACATTTAATTTGAAAGTTTACATTGCGGAAGCTACTTTTCAGTTAAACATGAACATGTTACCTTATTGATCATAATATCTGAAATAATTTCTTATATTTTCCTGTATGTTAAATATTATCCCTAATTTTTTTCGCAAAAAAAAAATGTAGAAATCTATTAACTTAAAGCTACGCTTTAAGTTAACTGTGGTTCTGCATGTTCTGGGTATTGACTGCTTTTTTTGTGGTTTCTTTTCAAACTTTCACTCTACACATTAGCTTTACTAGGGGCGAGGACCTCAGGTGCGCCTCTGTGCATTATTTCAGGCAAAATGTTGTACCTGCAGAGAACCGTCGACATTTTGAAACTAGCTTGATAGGTTTTCCACACAAAAGAATAAAAAGTCCCTGGTGGTTTTCGAATTCATAGCAGTTCAGTTCAAGTGATTTGAATTCAGTAAACATAAACAGCTCGGCCTCGGTCGGACACACCTGTCTGATTTGTTTTTTTTTCAACAAAATTTGTTAACGTCAGCTGTACAAATAAGCAGCTTTTTTATTAACTTCTGACGTGAAGTTTTAAGATTATAAATATTTGAAATAATTATAAAGAGAATAAAATTTAAATTTCTTATTTCGGTATTAATAGCAGAGAAATTTTCAATGTAAACAGGGGGTAATCCTCTGTGAAGTCATTTTCTGAAAACTTTTGTTTAAGTTTTCAGGCAATTCATTATCAAATAAAAATCACACTTTAGTATGAAGGTATGTTAAGATGTCATGTCTCTAGTCTGTTGAAAATTCGATACGATAATCTGACATTTTCTGTTCAATATTGTGAAAACTTAATAATTCTTCAATACTGTTGAAAGATCATGTCTGCCTATATCTGTATCAAATTTATCGGTTCATAGCGTAAAATACCTTTGCAAAACGGACACCTTTTTTACAAAATAATTTGTAGTTGTATCATATGTAACTCGATTTTGAAAAGTTTTTTGATGGAGAAGAATGATACTCAAGTGCAAGTATAGAAAATACATTCCGTAGACCTTCCCTCATCGGCGATAAAGAAATGCAATACGACAAAATCAGCGGTAAAGTTCCGCGGCGCTGAACATAAAATGACTAAACGGAACGCATAACCTACTTGCAAAAATATATTGTAGCTTAACCATTTATAATATTATTTTAAAAATTTAATGTTCAGTTTCAAATAATAAAGCTCATCTGTCCTCGTCGATTATTAAGAAAATGAATACAATAAAATTGGCACGTAAAAGACAAAAGTAATAACGGAATTGACGGAAATTATTGCTCATTACAAGTAACAACGGTAGGCATGCAATTTGCGCATTCCCGATAGCGAGAGACCTTTTCAAAATTTGTATTTTTTTCTCTTTTTTTTAAGAAAAATGTCATTCCTGATTTATACAGGGTCCAGTGGAGGTTACACTGGAATATTGAATTTTGTATCAAAAATAGTAATCACTCCCATTTCGAACTCACGTGAATAAGTTTATTAGCATGCTAAGGCAACAGTAGAACACGTTGTCATATGGGTGTGCGATCACGTGTTTCAATGTATATTGCATCTGTTACAGCTTTTCGGAATTTGTAGATGATTATGATTAGTACTAAAATGCGACCGAAAAATGCAGCCTTAATAGAATTGTATTACATTTCCATTTTTATGAAACCAATGACAGACCTCTGCTTTTGACTTAAGTTGTTAACAAGAAATGTTGTAGGACGTTATTGGCATACCTATAGCACATAATTTAAATAGTTTAACCAATATTCAGCCTGCAATGAAAATACAACTGCGTCGTATCATATTTTATTTTCAACTGCGTCGTATCATTTCGTAAAAATCATTATTTTCTTGGAAAATAAACATCTCTTTTAAATGAAAGTTTAGTAAATGATGCAAAATTATGTTTTGACGTTCATGGTGAACTCTGAAAACGCGTATAAAATTGATTTGAAGGGAAAACGATAGATAAAGCAATATGAACTGCGTCGTATCCACACATTTTCATAAAAATTCTGCCCCGCTTCGAGTTGCAAGTTCGCTATAACTTTTGTTTTACAAAATAGTTGTGCAAGCAACATATACCGAACGAAGCGGAAAATAGTGTAGCGTGTTAATACATATATCTTGTTTTCAGTCATTTCCAACAAAAAGAGTTATAAACAAAAACATACATTTTTCGCTCCAAGATGGCGGCGTTTGTTTACATTTTGTAGGATACGACGCAGTTTTGATTCCCAGCCCTGAAAAAATTTAATATAAGTCGTTTTGAAAAAAATTCATATTTCAACGACTATAATAATACACGTGTATTATTATAGTCGTTGAAATATGAATTTTTTTCAAAACGGCTCATATTAAATTTTTTTGATATATATGATCAGTACATGTGCTTGGATTGACAAATATGCTTTTTATTTGGATTTTAAAGGCGTTTTGAGCTCCACACCCCAAGTGTCTGTGACTAATTATGGCATAACAACACTTAAATTTAGCAATTCATAATTCCACGGAGTATAGATCTGTATCCTACATATACTGAAATAGTCCGTATGTTTTGTACAATGTCAAAATGATGGAGGTAGCACATTGATAATGTGGAATGTGCATCATCACTTTCATCGTTCATTATGATATGTAACAGGGCCAGTAATGGGGATGTATTTATATTTTGTAAAATGTCAGAGTTGTTTCCCTTGGACCTTTAATGATTGTTTCCAGCAATCCATAATGCAAATCCTGTCTAAAAATCAATTTGTCGTGATTTATTTATTTATTTTGTAACGATCCGTAAATTTTTATATTGTAAGAAATAGACTATAAATGTAAAGTTTTTACATAAAATCTGGTATTTACGGTGGCACAAAGGTGACATGTGTGTGAGATACTATGTCGTGGCCACGAGATATTATGTCTTGGCCACGAGATAGCTAAGTCGTGGCCACGAGATACTATGTTGTGGCCACGAGTCACTAAGTCGTGGCCACGAGATTGCTAAGTCTCGGCTTCGAGATAGCTAAGTCGTGGCCACGAGATAGCTAAGTTGTGGCAACGAGAAAGCTAAGTCGTGGCCACGAGATAGCTAAGTCGTGGCCACGAGATACTATGTCGTGGCCACGAGTTACTAAGTCGTGGCCACGAGATACTATGTCGTGGCCACGAGCAACTTTTACAAGCTGGTGAAGTAGGGGCATCCTTGTACTATAGCACATGTCTAGTTAATTAGGGAAATTCAAATAAATGGTGTAATCTGATTGGTTATTTATCTCGTGGCCACGACTTAGTAACTTGTGGCCACGACATAGTATCTCGTGGCCACGACATAATACTGAGCTATCTCGTGGCCACGACTTAGTAACTCGTGGCCACGACATAGTATCTCGTGGCCACGACTTAGTAACTCGTGGCCACGACTTAGTAACTCGTGGCCACGTCATAGTATCTCAGCTATCTCGTGGCCACGACTTAGTAACTCGCGGCCACGACATAGTATCTCGTGGCTACGAGATAAAAAAACACACACATGTGACCTTTGTGCCACCGTAGATCTTACATTCAAAAATAGTGTTTCAATTTCTATTCACTGTATGAATGGTGGTCAGGAGTACCCCCGACATCACGACGAGCCCAATGTAAAGGTGGCGGAGGTCACAGTTCATCTGATAATGCATCTTTATTTACTTTTTAAATATCTTATTAAGTTATTATTTATTTGCTATAAATTTGTGATTATTTTCTCCGAATTCACTCTCCGTATTATTATTATTTTTAAAAAGAAATTCCGATATTATTATGATTCGAAAGGAAATCTGCTTCCAAATTTATTTCCAGTAAATCGAAGGGATTAATTGATAAAAATCGGGTCCATGGACAAAAAAAGTAAACACAAATAGCTCCGCGCCTGTTGGCGCGGAGCAATAACAATGGATTAGACCAGCACTCAATAACATTAATTATTATTAACTATTGATGTATGTAGAAGACGTCTAATTCGAAAATTACATAAATAATAGAAACAGTTATATTCTATACATTTTTTGTTTTCTGAAAGAAATTACCATCTGTTACACCATTAAAAGTCAGTTTTATTTCAGTGAACAAGCCATAAATTTGCGTCATAAAATTATTCCTTTTTGTTCCCTTTGCAAAATGCAAACAATGCGATTTTAGTACAAAACATCTATTCCTTTCGTCGTTATATGGTTAAATCATTAACCCTGCAACAGCACTTCAAACAATGAAATAATGCATCAAAGACAGAATATTTTATGCGATATTTACACCCTAAATACATTTCGGGCTGAACTATATATAAGTCAAAATGCTGCAGAAATATCAGATCGTCAGGGTGACTTGGTGACAAATATTTGGAAACACTAACTTTCAAAAGATTTCAAAGATAACTAAAACACACGAGAAGTGGAATGGACATTTGTTGTCCAAGAGTCTGGCTGTTGACACTGGTTATGCTTGCGTACTGTGGACTCGCTCATTCAAAGTAAGTTCGTAACTTTTCTTAATTTTGGTTTGGATTTTTTTTTCATTTGATTATACTTGCGCATTTATTTTTCTTATCTAACAAAGACGAATATATTTTAACGTCTTCTTTTGTTTTCCGTCTGCACATGGAGATAAATGGCCTGTTATATAATGTTTTTTGTTTGTTTGTTTGCTTTGTTCTTTTTTTGACAGAGAAAATAAAACAATAATTTAGAAACTTAAGATTAAAAATATATCAATATAAAGGTCAAGATAAGTCTCTATAAAAACTGAGTGAAAATGCAGTTACTTATATTGTAAAGCTCAAAATAGACATTAATAGTATCGGGCCGCAACGCGTTGCATCTGAATACATTACCGTCTGCGTTGTAATCACTGGGACAGGGTCGACACGTTTTGCACACATTTTCAGTCATCATTTTGCTGAAAGAATATTTAATCACATACATGTAATAACTAAATAGTAAACTTAATTATTAACACACATGTTTGAAGTAAATCGAAACCCAAACTGTAATGTACACGCTAATCACAAGCAGTGATAGAGGAACACATTTCATTATCTTTATTCTTTATTTCGCTATTTCTTTCTAATTTTCGAGTTAAGTTCAAATTTTGTCAGCATTTTGTGTTTAATTTGTAATCAACTTCTATTTTTCAAATGATATCATATTGATTGCTGATAATTATATACTATTTATTAACTTCAAATATAACATATTATTTTTACTATTGTGAAGTGTCAAATCTAATGTTAAAACTTGTAGTCCGACCCTTTTGTTTTTATGAACAACTACAGCATCCATGTATATAGTGAACATTTATAAAAAAGCAATAAAATATTATTAAACTAAAGAGTACAGTTGTGATACACATTTAGCTATGTTATCAGTCTTTAGCTCGTTTGCCGAAAGGAAAGGTTTTGTCAAGCTGAAAGCAAAAAACTTTTTTTTCCAAGCTGAAAAAAAAAATGTTTAAATTTTTAACTTTACAGACTATGTGACTATTCCGTGGTTACATACGAAGATGTCAGTGCGAAATGTTCAAAATTCACAGTAATGATTCTAGACGGGTTCATTCTAAATAAAACGTTATCTGGATTTGGTTCATACTCGGACAGTGAGATACAGTCTATTATAACTAACGCATTGTTACAACCTGAAAACAGTCCAAATTGTATCTTCACAAAGTAAGATTTGCTCTATATAACTCACCTTATTATTATTATATGAGCCGCGTCACGACAAAACCAACATAGTGCGTTTGCGACCAGCATGGATCCAGACCAGCCTACGCATCCGCACAGTCTGATCAGGATCAATGCTGTTCGCTTACCAACCCTATTACAAGTAGAGAAACTGATAGCGAACAGCATGGATCCTGATCAGACTGCGCGTATGCGCAGGCTGGTCTGAATCCATGCTGGTCGCAAACCCATTATGTTTGTTTTGTCGTGACGCGGCTCGTATAAGTAAAGTATCAAGTTCATTTTTGGTAGATTATTTCAATTCACCACACAAGAATTCAGTTATATAGGGAGAGAGTACATGTAGTAGGTACAATGTATTGGTATTCTTAAAAATCACTGAAGTATATTGTCGCACAGAGGGATCTTCATATCGAGATGTCACATTGATGATATTATCAATTATATTTTACAAAGATGAATATAAAATACATATGAAAATGCTTACGCGTGCATGGTTGTCTTGATCACGTTAACTACATATACAAAGAGCATCCTTAAGCTTTGCGTTCTTAAAGCAAATCAAGCAATCTTGGTTGTTTGAAAATGAGATTCGGTGAACCATCTTTAGAACATTGTCATTAGAACAAAGTAGTTATCTATATTTATGAATTGGGGATGGGGGGGGGGGCGGTGTGGAATCTCAAATGGAATAATTTTGAAGGTCTTCAAATCGTTTTTAACCTTTACCTTACTGAAACCGCAAGTGATTAGCCTATGTCACCAGTATAGAATCAGGCCAGTCTGTACAGTCCAAGTTTTTTTTAAAGAACAATTCAGAAAGCTATTGTAATAATGGTATAACAGAATGTTTGTAATATCATAAATGATCATGTTGATAGTGCCCAAATATAGACCAATCCACATTCATTCGTGAAGATTACGTATTCTTATAACATTTCAAAGTTAACACGACTATTCTTATATACTTATACCAGAAAGATAGACAACAAATATGAAGATTGTTGTGCTGGCTGGACAGGCGCTAACTGTTCCTCTGGTAATGTATCATTTATATGTCTTATCACGTGATACAATAATAATGTCCGATGATTCTGTTTAGTTTGTTGAACATTTCAGCTCAGCATTATGAAAATTACGTTATTTTAACATAATTGAGCCGTGTCATGACAAAACCAAAATAATGGGTTTGCGACCAGCATGGATCCAGACAAGCCTGGGTATCCGCGCAGTCTGATCAGGATCCATGCTGTTCGCTTACAAACTCTATTACAAGTAGAGAAACTGATAGCGAACAGCATGGATCCTGATCAGACTGCGCGGATGCGCAGGTTGGTCTGGATCCATGCTGGTCGTAAACACATTACGTTGGTTTTGTCATGACGCGGCTCAATCTATTTAAGCTTGCAACTTATGTAATATCACTTCTAGTGGTGTCATATGAAGAAACATGATTGTAACCCGAGTAGGGCTCAAACCCATAATATCTGTGTTGAGAGCCAGGCACCTTAACCACTAGGCTATCACTCCACTTGAAAATTAACTAGTGAAACAAATAGAATATCACATTTGTACTCTTCTATAATGTTAATGTATAGATATATTTAATTTTTTGTTGACATTGAAATAAGTTTGCACACATGTCAATAAATCTTGCAAATACATAATCATTCTTTTGTCATATTGTTAAATATGAACATTTTCAGAAGGGAGTTTTTTAGAATATTTTAAGCTAAATACTAGTTGTTAAATTAAACATGATGTCATGTATGCATTCTGTTTTTATCAAACGATCTTTCCAACATTATAATCATTTTGGAATTAAATGACTTTTTTAAATGTAAATTAAGCACGTTTTTGTATCATTTCAGTTGTTTGTGACCCTCCATGCAAGCATGGATATTGTGCAATGCCTAGTTTTTGTGTTTGTGATGACGACTTTACTGGATACAGGTGCGACGATCTAGAATCGCGTGAGTGATTTTTCTATGTCATAATCATCATAATACATGTCATCATATACTATTATTATCCTTATAGCTTTATGATCATTTATTTAATAATTTAGACTCTGAGAGAAATTTTGATTCCAATTATTGCTTACTATCATATATTCACTACATAATCATGCAGAAGTCTGTTATAAATATTAGATTGTTTTGTCCAACGGTGATAATTTGCTGTTCCTTGGCGTTTTATAATTTTATGATATTATATTATGAACATAATCGTAAATGCGATGTCATTTTAGAAAGCCTACTATAAAACTATTTCTAGAAATGTTTTATACAGCTCACCATGTGCTCGTTCCTTTTTATATTTTCAAAGACAAGTTTGAGATAAATCTGTATGAAATGACATCTCCATTGTTGTCGCTGATGGCAACGTATACAAGTAACAATATTTGACCAGTTTAACATGTACACCGCCTGGCCTTACCCAATAAAAATGGAGAAATTAATATCAAATGAAAACAAAATGGACGAAAAAGACCTTCAAAAAGGGCGCCTATGTGGCTTGCATTCTGCCACGTTGCTTGTCTGGATACCTTTATATAGAATTTAGATACTATTTTCATGTACGAATCTTGAGACCAGTGTTTGAGCTCTTGCCGAGTAAACAATATTTAGAATATTTGTCTAAAGGAAGAAACATTAGCTCTTTTGTTCAGGAAGTAGTGTACTTCACGAAAAAAAAAATAATTTAATATCTGACTGAACGGCGACTCCTGGCATTTTTTGGAAATGCTAATACTAGTATAATCATAATTTATTTTATTTTTAGAAGCGAACAACGTCAGTTACCAGTATTGTTACGGCTCCTCACAATGTTACGGTCCCAAGCAAACATCATTTGAGGATACGGCTGTAGACGAATCAACGTGCTGCAGTAACGGTGGTGGTGGTTGGGGCGTTGATGGCACGTCAATGTGTCAGGCTTGTTCGGATCACCATTATACTGGTACGTTTTTTATGTTAAATTGTCATCATTGACTTCTTTTGCGAAAATTGCTAGTACACAAAGAGGTAATCGATTTTGCATTTAAGATTCATTTTCTTGTGCTTATTTGTAATAAGTATCTTTTTTTGGAAGTTATTCTGCAAAACACATTAATAACATTGATTTTTTATGTTAGATGTACCAGACTGTGAAATATCAACTGGATTGTTGATGGTACATTTATAATGACCATTATTTTCTCTTCAGTTTACTTTCTTTATAATTGAGCCGCGTCACGACAAAACCAACATAGTGCGTTTGCGACCAGCATGGATCCAGACCAGCCTGCGCATCCGCGCAATCTGATCAGGATCCATGCTGTTCGCTATCAGCTTCTCTACTTGTTATAAGGTTGTAAGCGAACAGCATAGATCCTGATCAGACTGCGTGGATGCGCAGGCTGGTCTGGATCCATGCTGGTCGCAACCCCATTATGTTGGTTTTGTCATGGCACGGCTCATATATTGTTTTTGTGTACTTATGTAAAAATATTCAATCGATGAAAATTTACACCATTTGAAATATATAATTGATAATGTATATTTTATTGACGAATGCGATATACCATACTTAAAGATCCTGTATGTTTTGTGATTGATGTTGTTACTGTGTGTATACCACACTTGCAAAAAGTTATATATGTATATAATTATGCAAATAAAACAATTTTCAAATATCGAAGAATATGTAAAATGTGTACTGCAAATATTTGTGCACATTATATTTAATCAATGAATTATATGCATTCATTTCTTATTGGAAAATTTGACTTAGAATTTATAGAAAATAATTTTCTAATTACCTCCCTTTATTTAAATGAAATGTTAAATTGGGTAATATCTTTATAAATAATGCTCATTGGAACTTACAATATTGAGAAATCTTAATTTGAGCATCATATTTATGAAATAAAACCATGAAAAAAATGTGTTACAGGATCTTTAACTTTTCATGCTGAGCCGCCCTTTTACCATTTCTTACTTTATTTGATACAGACACCAGTGTGGTCAATCAAACCAATGTTCTCCCGTTCAGGACTTGTTTGAATTTCGGTAAAACATATTACCGTACATTTGACGGATTGGAGTACCAGTTTTCAGGTGAATGTACGTACACACTGGCAGAGAACCACAATCAAGGCTGGCATGTTGAAATGTCTGTGAAACAGTGTGAGACCATTACTACATGTGACAAGGTGTGTATAATTGCTCAACAACAAATGAGCCTCGTCACGACAAAACCAACATAATGGGTTTGCGACCAGCATGGATCCAGACCAGCCTGCGCATCCGCGCAGTCTGATCAGGATCCATGCTGTTCGCTATCAGTTTCTCTACTTGCTGTAGGGTTTGTAAGCGAATACTTATTCTTATCCTCTATGTTTTTTTCCTGTTTCAGCTCGATTTCTGAGTTACTTAATGGCCTGTAGATCTAACTTTTCATAAATATTCTCGTTATTTTCCTACAACTTTCTAGCTATTGTTTTTTTTCTTTCAGAAAATATCTATATATATTGACCAAGGTGACAGGATAGAAATACAGTCAGGAAAATGTTATATCAATGGTGTATTGACTGAATTATTACCCGGAGAACCACATTTCACTCCAAAAAAGTGTGAGTTTATTTTCAAAATTAAAAAAAAAATTGAGATCAGTCAGTTGTAAATAACCACCTCACAAAGACAATATTATTTACAGACTCGGTTTGATTGCGTATTTTCATATAAGTTAATGAAAAGCATTCCAATGTTAGCCCCGCACCGGCTTTAGAAGCAGCGAATCTTAACAATAAATTTCATACAGCAGTCATGTAGAACATAATAAACATCTTTAAAATAATAATCTAAATAAAATTTCGTTTTCAGTTAATAAGAGTCCAGATAAAAAAAAAACAAGAATATCTGTGTTGGTTGATATTATTGCCGTTTTTTGTTTTGTTGTTGTTTTGTTTGTTTTTTTATTCTTTGTTTTTGGTGTTTCCTGTCTTTAAATATTTCTCAAGAAAATTATATATTTCATGTCATACAATTCCACCCAATATATAGGACTGATTTAAATGATAACTTGTCTGCATTTATACATGTACTTGATTTAAAGTCATTTACAGAAATCAGGTCAAAACTGTTCTTTTCTATTAAATGATAAGTTACCTTTAAAAACATAAAAACAAAATTAGGGTGAAAAAATTCTTATTTAAAGTGATTTCATTTGTTGATAATGAAATCAACCACAATGCAATTGTTTATATACGGTATGTATATGTATATTATATACGGTATGTATATGTATATTATATACGGTATGTATATTATATACGGTATGTATATGTATATTATATACGGTATGTATATGTATATTATATACGGTATGTATATGTATATTATGTACGGTATGTATATGTATATTATATACGGTATGTATATTACATACGGTATGTATATGTATTTTATATACGGTATGTATATGTATATTATATACGGTATGTATATTATATACGGTATGTATATGTATATTATATACGGTATGTATATTATATACAGTATGTATATGCATATTATATACGGTATGTATATGCATATTATATACGGTATGTATATTATATACGGTATGTATATGTATATTATATACGGTATGTATATGTATATTATATACGGTATGTATATGTATATTATATACGGTATGTATATGTATATTATAAATTTATAATTATACGGTATGTATATGTATATTATATACGGTATGTATATGAATATTATATACGGTATGTATATGTATATTATATACGGTATGTATATGTATATTATACAGCATTCAGCATAGATTACAGCGGCGAATGGCTCCACATTGAGTCACCAAACGGTCTACGTGTAAAGGTGGACATGAAATCAACAGTGTATGTTACTCTAAACAAGGATAAGAATATCGGAGAGCCCATACACGGGCTTTGTGGCAACAGCAATGGAGATCCTTATGGTAATACATATACATGTATTAAATTATAATGTAAGATAGGTTTATACCTTCAAAGATATATTATGCTATTATGCTCAAATAAAAAAGATAATTACTATACAATCTCTTTTCAAATGTAAAATAAATATCTTTTGAATATACACACAGAGAATATATGTTTTAAACTCCATAAAGTTCATTCATTTCCTAAATACATTATACTTGTGTGATAAATCTAGTGTCACCCCACCACCACACACCCCAAAGACATCTTTAACTATTTATTAATATTTAAGATGATCTTGAAACAAAGAATCATGAGATGACAACCAGTCCAGTGGTGTTTGGTAACTCGTACAAGATTGTTGACAGTAGCTACATCGTAAGTTATACATGTATTTAAACTACATAATGTATATAATTTATCTCGTTCAATAATACAAAATGATACAAAAATACCTATTTCGTTTGGGTTTTATTGTTATTTTTGAGTATTCACAAGTATATTGCTTTGAGGTTTGCAAAAGTCATTCACAGTAATTCAACTGACTGACTGGTGCTGCTTTTTGGTTACACACAGATTCAAAATTATTCTTTGAAATTGTATAAATACTCGTTTTATGTGTACATGTGACCTTTTACTGTAATAAAGGGGTGATTTCTGTCTATCATTATTGTTTCAGGACATTATGTATTTCGTTGATGCATTAATATTTTAAATGCTATGTTTACATTGTGTTTATCTTATAAACTGACCAAAGCAATTTCTCAAAGACATTAATAGAGTATTGTTATATCTGTATTGAGGACTATGGTGCGTTTTTTTCTGCGTATTTATTAGAATGACACGTTGTACTTGATCGTTTTAAAACTAATTCAAGAAGATTATACACGTGTTCATCTGACATTTTAAGTGTAGTTTTTATAAGGTAATTATATCCTTAAGAGTGTCTTATATAGAAACTATGATATATTAAAGTGTTTCTATGGTTACAGTGTAGTGATGCTGGTTCATTAAGGGATGCATGTTTGAATGTAGCCGACAATGAACAGAATGAAGCTGCCGCCGAGTGTTCATATATACGTTCACAAACCTTTCATGATTGTCATGGCGTGGTAAGCATTATTTGATTATCTATAAACCTAATATAGCTTTATTGTTTTTGAAACAAATCAAGGTAGTTTATTGCTCGAAACAATTTGTTCGTACTAAAATACAAACCGATTTACGCATAACAATAAATGTTGAAGCGTTAACATTATCTAAAATAACATAAAAAAATAACGGCAAGTAATAAAGTCCAATATAATTTTGCCGACAACTATGTTAAAAAAATGGTGTACTTTAGTTTTGTTTGAGATAAACAAAAGTGAAAGCGTTGAATGGGCGCGATTGCCCAGTAATTACGGTGTCTGTCTCTCAAATCACAATCAGGGATAGTGAGCTCGAGGCTTTGAGAAAAACCTGGCTCTAAGCCATGTTCATCACATGACACTAATACTGTGTTCAAGGTTATAAAGAGTTGTTTAAAACTCAACCTCTGATATCTGGGGTTTGATTGGCGAGAAACCAGTATAAAAAGTCTGATTACCAATGAAAATATTAGATGGTTTGAGACAGGACCCCGAAAACAACTTAATTACCTGGCATACTACTTAGTCACAGAATGTGGATTATTCATTTGTTCATATAAGCTTAAAGATTTCATCACAGTGGAGCTGAGATAAATACGTTTTAGCTAAAATGAAAAAAAAACTAAGTATAAATGTATATAGATAAATTTCTATACGTTTTTTAACATCTGAAATACCATTTAAGGTCAATGAAGGGCTATGGTATGAACTCTGTATGAACGCTCACTGTGCAGAGGAAACCTCGGAGGCAAAACGTGCCGTAGTTTGTGACGTCACAGAGGCATACGCTAGACTTTGCGCTGATAAGAATGTCACAATATATTGGAGATCACTTCTAGACTGCCGTAATATTATTTTTTCTATGATATATACTGCTTTATTTTATTTAAAAACTATTGTTATGAACACTTTCAAATAGAAGCCATATTTTCTTTAATGAATGAGCACATTTCAGTCAATATGAATAATAATTCTTGCATATGAGACTGATGTTTCCGTTCGTTTTACCCATGCCGGAAATTTCATCAGACATGGTGTATGCCAGATGAGTCGCGTGCTGCTAAGGATGGCCTAATTTCGCCGTTATGAATAAAGTCTGCTATAAGAAAGAAATTACGGGTGTAATGACATAAATTTCCATGGAAATTTTATTAAGGTAAAGAATATGATAATATAGTGAAAAAATATCTGACATATGAGCCGCGTCACAACAAAACCAACGTAATGCGTTTGCGACCAGCATGGATCCAGACCAGCCTGCACAGTCTGATCAGGATCGATGCTGTTCGCTTACAAACCCTATTACACGTAGAGAAACTGATAGCGAACAGCATGGATCCTGATCAGACTGCGCGGATGCGCAGGCCGGTCTGGATACATGCTGGTCGCAAACGAAAATGTTGGTTTTGTCGTGACGCGGCTCATATGTTTCCGGTTTAGATCGGCATATTCGTCCCTCAGGAACCCATCCAATAGGCGGCAACATATGGCAGATATAATTCACTCATGTTACATATAAGGAACATTTGTGTTTCACGGGGGAAGAGAACAGCGCTGCTACAGTTCCTACATAAACAGTATAGTAGTAGTTAATTATAAGACAGGACGCACCAACGTACGGATGTCTATTATAAATGCACGTATTTGTATATATAAGTAGCATATGAATGAGGCATTAAAGAGTATATTTGATATAACGACATTATATATTCTGAAAAGCATAATCTATTATTTTTTCCCAGCTATCCATTAATTCTCATTGAATTTGAAACACTTATAAAGTTTGTAGTTATTTCAATGTAAATTAAACATTGTTTTCTTCCGTTGTAGCCAAGGACTGTCCAGCAGGGTTCGAATATTATGATCGCATTCCTCGCTGTCCACGAACATGTAAAACGTTACACGAGGTGATGCCTAGTGATTGTTACATGGAAACCGCGTCCGGTTGCGACTGCCCTGTAGGAAGATTTCTTCAAAATGGCGTCTGTGTACTTCCGGAAGAATGCATGTGTGATTTCCGAGGAGTAAAATATAACAACACGGATCGGATACAAATTGGCTGTAACAGATGGTACGATCATTTTATTTTATTTTATTCTACAACTTATCGTTAATGTTATCAATCGCGAATACAGACTGGGAAAGATAAAACTTTACGCTTATTATAAAATTATTTATTGAGGTATTTACTAAAATAAGTCAAGTGCTTCAGCTCTAAATGATATTTAATTGTTGTACATCTTTATATTAACGTTATAGTGTATGCTATATGGGACGTTGGAACTGCACAATGGATAAGTGTAGTTCAACATGTAATGTGTATGGACTGTCTCACGTCAAAACATTCGATGGATTGAAATATGAATTTGAAGCAACAAGATGTGCATACTATCTTGTGCAGGTATGTTAATAGTTTTGTTCTTCCCCATGAAAAACAAAGGTCCAGTGTTAAAACTATTATATGAAATGCAGGTGTCGCAAGTTTGATCCTCAGCTACTGAAATTTAAATTACCGAGGTTCAGTGCAAAAGCACTTAACATCTTGCACACTTTTAAATAGAGCAAGTTGCTTTCTCCTGCATGCAATGGAATATTTTTGTATGTTTCACAATGTATACAGGCTTCCGAAACCCAATGCAACTTCCTCACACATTATTTCTGTCAGAATGAAACGACTATTATATGACGTGCAATGAAGAACCCACAGAAAAATTTGGACATTGTTGTTATAATTTTTGTTCTTGCCTATCTCAAATAATCCATAAATGTAACACATTAACATTTCTAATATAATGTCAAAATGGCGTATCAAGTATTTTCATATTTCGATTTAACAATGACAATGACGCTCATGTCTTTTATTCTATTCAAAACTATAGTTGCACATTTAAATGAATCTCAACAGCCTCAAGGCTCTATACTGGTTGAAGAGACTATTAACTTTCGGTTCCAGAATGTATATAGCATGCTTTCATTTTTCTATACAATAGCCAATAGATCCTAACGCTGTGGACGACCCTGCAAGTGATCTGTCTATAAGAATCTTACATGACCATTGTGGAGAAGATATAAATGATGACCGGAACTGCATAAGTGGGGTCCGAATACAGAACCAAGGAAACGTTGTCATCATCAACAAGGATTCTGTTTCCATCAATGGAAGAGATTATACAGAGTTCATACATAAGATGCCATACTGGACGAGAACGTTGTATGTCAAACAAGCAACATCATTGTTCATACTTGTAAAGGGTTTTGGTTACCGTGTGTTGGTTGGCTTCAGAAGAGTTTACGTCAGTCTTGATCCATTCTTTGATAACAAGGTATTTTACAGTATGAAGTTATATTTTTTTCTTTATCACCCCTTACAAATGCAAGCATTAAAGAAAAATGCCAACACTTTCACTATTTAAATGATTATGTTTAACATGCATTGACGTTATATTTTTATCCATGTGTACAATTACAAATGTATAAGGAACGTACATGCATGTTCGTTTACAAAATATATCATAGTTAACTAGTGCAAGTACAGAAATGTACTTTGGATAGTTGTGTTGTCTATACAATATCAGAGTTCAGCGTTGTACTACCGTATAACTAGACAAGTGCAAATACCGTGTTAGGTGTAGTTAAATATATATCAGAGTTTACTGATGTCAACATCGTAGAAGATTTATTTATTTACAAAATATATCATATCAGAGTAAACAAGTGTAAATACCGTGTAGGCCTATTCCTTGATGAAAGGTTCGCAATAAACTGTTGTGATAACTGTGTTAGTAAAATTATTATCAATATTTTACCATTGAACACACCAGGTTCAGGGTATTTGTGGAAGATTCAACTATAATTATTGGGATGAATGGACAACAACTACAGGGATTAAAGAAACAAAAGCTGGAGCGTTTGTCAAATCATACATGCATGATCCCGGAAGTTGTGCAGCACAAACTGAGAGAATTGCTGGAAGTGAATGCCAAACAAATCTAGTATGTTGATTAAAAGTACACATCAACAATAACAAGAAACATATTAATTAACATATATTTATGAAAAAAAAATTGTTTTTCATTTATTATTCCAACATCAGTTTGCTTCTTTTTTTTTCCGTTTTAAATACATCATCCTGGCACCTTTTTTCCAAGTACTAAGAACAAAACTTACATTATAATTGTAATTATAAATAGAATGAGTACGCAAAAGAAGTATGTGCACCGATCCAGAACGATGAAATATGGATGCCTTGTAGAAATCTTGTAGAATTTTACAAGTTTTATCAACAATGTGTAAGTGACGTCTGTCTGATATCGAGGCTGAATGTGACGGAAGTGGCGTGTGTGATAATGGCACAGGTGGCACGAGAATGTGCGTTACAGGGTGCTATTATCGACGATTGGAAAGACCATCCGAGTATTAAAGAAATGTGTGGTAAGCGATTACTTCATTTTTGAAAACCTTTTTAAATATTTATTGTCAAAACATAAAGTTAAGATATAAAGTGTGGTCCGGACTACATATTAAGGGACAGATCTTCCTTTCTAGCTAAACATCAAAATGTTAAAGGTCAATATGACTGGTCTTTTACAAATTCTTAAACGTTGGTTCCAAAAGACAATAAGTCAGCGGACAATATGACCACAAGCTATGACTTGAAAGCTGAGGTTTAAAACAAAATAATACACTAATATGAAGAGGAATAATTCTCACTTAATTTTTCGTGATATTTTCTTGGCTTTTTTTATATTTTTTAATGGCTGACATCTTCCATAATTAGAATCGACCTTACCATGTGATACAATTGCTGGCGATATGAAGTATGAAGAGTGCGCTCCAGCGTGTAGTGGTCACTGTCGCGACGTGGAGCTGCTGGACACCGCCTGTGAACACGAGTGTATACCCGGGTGTCGCTGTCCCCAGAATCAGATGTTAAGTGATCATGGTCATTGTGTTAATGAAGATGAATGCACGTGTTATGACAAATACGCCTCACTGGGTCAAAACTCAATAGAAGCTGGGTCTGAAATTGAAAGAAACTGCGAGCGTTGGTATGGGGACCTTACTGTTACTTTTTTTCATATATATTACAAGGAGTGAAAAAGGGGGGGGGGGGGGGGGCTGGTTACAAATCAATAAATAAATTATAAAATTAATGAAAAAATATTAAATAAGTCACGTATTTGTTTAGAAAACTAAGAACCAAATTTTCTCCCTTTTTAGATAATGATTTCTAACAGATTCTTTTCTATGATGTTTAAGCATATGCACAAACGCTAAGCTGAATTGCTCTGACATACCTGACTGTGTTTCGGATGTAACGTGTCCGTCTAATCAAGTGTATTTTGAGGATCACGTGTTGTGTCCATCATCGTGTGAAACATACCCTCAACAATGTGACCAGGATCAGGCTTTTACTGGCTGCAGCTGTCCAGAGCATCTTACCATGTCACCAAGTGTAAGTTAATAAGTTCTGATTCAATGGTAGCTAACTCACAGACAATAAATAAACAATAAAAACGAAAATCTATAAAATATAATTGTTCATAATGAAATATAAATATGCATCATGTAATCAAGTATTACATAGAATGGGTCTCTTCTATATTCTGTCACAATAGACCAATAATTAATATTCTGATTAATATAATACATAACAGATACCAGTAGAGAGAAACATCTGAGTATGTTTTACCATCTAAATCTATATATATTACATTAACTACAGTTAAAGGGACTCCACTGAGGGTTTTTAACATAAATGGACTAGAAGTATATTCTCGATAATTGTCTATCATCTTATGAAGGACTAAATATTCACTTAATTGAGCAATTTCAGATCACTTTTTTGTTGATTTTTGTTGGATTTTTTCCAGAAAATGTAATTTTTTATTGTGCAAAATGAACTAAAATTGATTTTATTATGCAAAATTATTAAAATTGAAAAGCGTTTAAAGTTTTAAAACTCCACAGTGGCTTAAAGTTGCACACATAAAATGAGTTTCAATTGAAATCTGAGTATACTGCTTCATTATCTATTCCGTATTTTCCCAATTCAGTTAATCATTTTTTCTTTAAAAGTTTAAAGGATTTTAGATTTTATGTTTTAAGCATTTAGACCACTGAGGTCTAAATGCTTAAAACATAAAATTTAAAATCCTTTAAACTTTTAAAGATAAAATGAACACATAATGCCTCAGAAACAAATGAATCTTTACTTCTTTAGCAAGGACAAACATGAATTTTATAACGTTTAAATTAAGAGAGAGTTGGATGCTTGTTACCTGAAGAATATAGCAATAAATGTGAAATAATATGTCATAAAAGTAGCAAAATGTAAACAAAGTAGTATTTTGACTTTCATACAATATATACTTATTCACTTCAATTGTACTTATTGCCAAACAGCATTAGATGAAAAAGATGGTTCAGGTAATTAGCCAATGAGTAACTTTTTTGGATACTATAAAAGTTCACCAAAATAAAACAGTTTTTGTGAAATAAAAATGCAATCATTTCTGAGGCATAATGGGCCTTTAAATATATTTTACAGTTCTTTGACAACACATTAAAATTAATAGCCATGCATTATTAATTTTAGGGAACATGTATAGAGCCAGATACGTGCCCTTGCCAGTACAATAACGAATGGTATGAACCGGGACATGAATTTGGCGTCGGATGTAAATCCTAGTGAGCATGTGTTTCCTTTCATAACATTTTAATCCAACTCTTTTGTTAAAAAGTATGATAAAATGGTTGATTTTTTTATCATTGCAAATAGTTACTACCTGAAAGGCATACTTCATATTAAAGGTGTTGTAGACGCACGCGACTATATCACGTGACAGTAAATAATTTACTTTATTTGCAGGGATGAATATAAGTATATGATATACTCTGGAATTAGTCAAATAAACTCAACTCATTTCTAAATTGTCTCTAAAACACAAGATTAAATTAATTTAAAAGCGATTATATGATATGAAAGATTAAAACTAAAACTGATTAGTTTTACACTCATCAAAATTTTAACAAAAACAACCTCTTTCATATAGTTTTAGTAAAATTTTACTATGATAAAAATTAACATTAAGTAGTACTTAAAGTAGTTGTTTTTATTTCATTTGTTTGTTTTTTTCAGCCGCTGTGAGCATCGGAGATGGGTTGTTACAAAAGTAGAGACATGTCCAGGTTAAAAAATATATTAGTAATTTAAATATTGTTTAATATTCCGTGTTATATATGACTTAAGTGTAAGCGTTTAAAAGCAACATACGTTTATACACATCACCGAAAGGCATTTAACTTGTTTAAAGTACTAAGTAACAGATGTACCATACTTCATAATTTCCTTCTTTTATTTATTTAAGTAAAACAAATAATTGATTATTTTTATGAATATACGTTGTCATGCATTTAGAGAAAGATAAAAAGCAATGTTTTTTTTCCAATTAAAGTTGACGTAAAGATATGAAGTTTTACAAGTTAACATCATCATCACAATTTTATATTTATCTAAATTATTTTGTGATTTTAACACCTAATCAAATATTATTCGTACGACCAATTTGATTTGGTAAATGCTTACTAATGAACACTAACTAATTTAGTATTTGAAACTATTTTTATAGACAGTCGATTTACCAGACTGATTAATAAAAGTTAACAGATTTAAGTTAATGTATTACGATTCATTTCAAATACTGCAATCTTATTGGGCAAAAGATAATTTTAAATTTATCTTGATTAAGAACATTGCCTTTTTTCATTAATAAATAAAATGATAAAGATACTCGTATAAGATATTGTTAAATACATTTCTTGCATTTCCCTGCCCCACCCCCTCCACTGTTATCTGCATATAACTTCGAATAATTGTTTCGGGAATAACTCACTCCATTAATTCATATCATTCGTATTTATGTAGGTACATGCTGGACATCTGGTAGCTCGAACTACATGACCTTTGACGGAAACCATTACATATTTGAAGGAACATGCAAATATACACTAGTGAAAAGTAAAAATGACGAGTTTCACGTACGTATAAATTTTGACAAAAGGCCATAAAATACTGATATTGTCTTATGAGGCAAAATACAGCACTAATAAAACATTCAACGAGGTGTCCATTCACACGTATTTACATGAAATATACACGTACGCTTTGTAGAAAGGTTATTTTATACTGTTTTTTACATTAACCATTACATTCAACACATACTTAAAGTGAATTGGTCTACAATGGGCACATGTTTCATAAAAGATAAAATCAATAGAAAACTATAATTTGGGTATTCTTATAAGATAATGCTTGAAAAAATGTAAGTAAAGTTCAAAGTGATTCAGTTTGAATATCTAAATATGTTGAATGATGATATTCTGTTCTAGAAAAATTTATCACATGCTATATGAATATATATGTAATATGTATATGTAATATGTATATATTTTGTTGACAAATGAACAATTCACTTAAAAGTGTCCTAATAGTGTAAATTGTGACCATTCAATCTTATCCAACACGGCATATTTTAAATGCTGCTTGCTCACGTCCACTTGCCGCGGATTAAAAAGCAAAATGCTTACTGGTCTAGAAAATCAATTAAATGTATTGTTAAATTGAAAAGTTAGAGACATATCTAAAATGAATGTTCTCGTACTCCACTTTGTCTTTTAAATCGTGTTGCCATACATTGTGCAAATCCTATATAAAGTAACGCAAGAGAAATAATAAAAAATGAACACAACAAACAAATTAAATAGCTTACAGTTTATACACATTTACCTTGAAAACATAAAACATACTAAACTTATTTCTGTAGGTTACTGTTGAAAATGCTCCTTGTGGGACAACGGGAATCACGTGCTACAAGGTGGTAGAGATATTTTTAGGTGATATTCACATACAACTTATGCGGGGGATAGCACCGAAAATTAACTACTATCCCATACCGTCGGACGAATATAACGACCAGGGTATTCATATAACGAAGGCTGGACTTTGGACATTTGTAAACATCGAGGCATTGAACCTGACCATACAATATGACGAAGGTAAGCTTTTTTTCAAATATGATAAATATTTGGCCACTTTTCTTTGTTTGCATTTTTTTCTATCTCTCAACAAGAAAGTTGCAACATATCTATATACATATCGTTTATTAAAAGTTCGAATTTTGGCTTTATCGGTGTCCTAGTTAAAAGGCATGGAAAAATACTTTGATTGTTTACCAATTCGATTGCACACTGCTGTCCCGAGGCACGCGACCATGTTCCTTTTGTAAAACATACCTGAATGAATTCAAACTATATTTAAGGTACTAGAGTGCTAATTCATTTGGCGGACACGTGGAAAGGATTAACGAACGGATTATGTGGTGATTATAATGATGATCAACCAGATGATTATCTTGGTATGCCAGACACAGAGTTTGGAAACAGTTATAAAACCGATACAACTTGTCCTGATGTTGCACCTAAAGCCACAAACGAGATGGTACCATGTTATGTGAGTAGAGAAATATTATATAATGTATGTTATTTATCCTGACTATAAAAATTACTAACACGGAATTTGAATATGGTATTGTTAGTGCTAATGTATGCAAATGCGCTTTGATTTAATTGTGTAACATTCAGTTTTTTCCTTTGTTTTGCTAACTTTTCCCAGAAAATAAATATCTTTTAAGTTATCTTGTTATTTTCTTTTTAGTTATCTTATTATCTGTATCATAATACCACATATTGACGGGCTTTATCGCAGTGAAAACTGGTTGTAGAGGGTATAAGCTATTTGATACTTGATTGCGATGTGATCAGTCTTTGCTTTTTGCTTATCCTTATAAGTTGTTAACAGCTATATCTGTCATACTTTATCAGCCTGCTGTTGTCTGGATGAACATAAATCGTTTTATTATGTTACCAATTTCACCATTTGGTCTCTAAATATATAATAATTCATTATTGGATCGAGTCTTAATTAAGCACTTTTAACGAGTACAAAATTAATATCAAATCAATATTATACTCAAAATAACTAGCGTCTGTCAGAATATGAGTAAATGGTGGTGTTAAAGAATACATTATACATTGTTGTTTACAATTTTGATTATATTAGACTTGTACACAGCTGCAAAATCTATTTTGAACTCGTCTAATATAGATTTGACAGGTGTTTACTTCTTGAATTTCGGAAGAAGGTAGTCTAGTCTAGTACTGGTGTAACTCTCTAGGAACGATGGTTAGGACACTACCCGCCTATATGACTGAAATACTGTTGGGAAAAGGCGTAAAATGAAACAAACAAACAAAAACTTCTTGAATTCAGTATTGTGCTCAACAATGTATAGTGGCCTATAGTATCCCTCGATTTTATTTACCTGAGGTTTGTCGACTTCTCAGATAATTTTAGCATTCTATGGCCCTTTTACCGTTTCATTAACATTCACTACAATACAAATATACAATACAAATATATTTACAGGGGACAGATGAACGACTACAGTGGGCTCATGAGTCATGTTCTATTATTAGAGAAGGAGAAACCTTTGCTGAATGTAGAAATGCGATGTCGGACACACTTCTCGACCAATACCATCTGGATTGTCTCTACGACTCTTGCAGGTTCTTGTTTTAATAAGATTGTCTCCTTTGACACAATTAGAGTCTGTTTTTGCGATTTGTTTTATTGCATGAAATATGATAAACTATTTCGTTAAGAGATAAAATATTTTACTACTGAACAATCACAGCTTTATAATGGGCAAATTGTTAAAATAGCTGAAAGCCTTATGATGGTAATTTATTTTGTTGTGAACAAGGGATCAATGGACTCAATGAAACCGGAAGTAATTTGATGCTAGCTTTTATTAAAATGACAAACTATATTCATTATTAACATTTAGATGTGACAAAGGAGGAGATTGCGAATGTTTGTGTACAGCTCTTGCTAATTTTGCTGAAGGTTGCAACAAAATTAATGTCCCCGTCAGGTGGCGTACACGCTGGCTCTGTCGTAAGTTTGATATTACAAATGATGAAATATTAGATCTTAAATTTCAACATGAGGTTCGATATGTGGATAAAGGTTATTAACTTTGTAACACGTGCTTGAAAAAAGTAAAACTATTCCTATATATCGATAATTTTAATACTAATTAACTTTTTTACATAATGTATAACAATTATTGGAATATAGAAGTTGCCGTGGAATAAAAGTTATCATTGTAGAAATATTTATATTGTTGATTAATACACTTTAACTTAATCTTAAGATAGATCAAGACTTTTAATTTTGAACTGATATATATATACATACTAAAAAAAAAAAAAAAAAGATATATATACATACACACTTAACACTACATCAACTGATTTATAAACCATTATAATCACCAGCAATGCAATGCGAAAACAACATGGTATACTCGGCATGTGCCGCACCTTGTCCCCAGACTTGTCAGAACATTGGCGACGAACCGGATGCTACATGTTCGTCATCATCATGTGTAGAGGGATGCACCTGCCCGACCGGTTACATACTGTCAGGTACTCGTTTATTATTTTGACCAATCATATTAAGCCTAAAAGTCAAACTGATATACAGATATGACATAAAGACGGTTGATTGTTTAAACGGCACATTTTCCTGCTAAATGCATATAGTCATTAAAATTGTTATCAATAGGTACATGTAATTTTACATTTTGATTTTTGAGATACCTTTAGATCGGAATAAATTAAGTAGAGGATATTTGTTTGTTTTACATATATTTCACTGAGTGAATGCCAGATACAATATTTTAACGAGTGGCGTAGCCACGAGTGAAAATATAATAGCTGGCGCTCACGAATGAAATATATTTAAATCTTATGTGTAAAACAAGTAAATTTTCTTTTTATTTCATGCTTTTTAAGTAAATCAAAGTATTTTTACTGATTTTGCAACGTAACGTCATGCATTCTCCTTTATGACTTCATCGCATCATGACGTCACATCATCAATTTTGAAATAAGGTTCTGTTAATATTTCTCTAAATTTGTTACATTTCAAACCTGATTTATTACGACATCCACTTTCTTTTCATACAGAAGCAAACGTTACGTATGACGCATTTTTTTTTACCTGTTATTCCATTCAGTTTTGATTTTCTTTTCATCCCATTCAGATATGGTACGGCTACAGTGAAAATTATATTCAATAAATTTCACCAGTGGTTTATCCGAATATAATCATCTGATATATTTCAACATAATGAAACACTGGAAGGCATGAAATAATATTTTTTTCTATAACAGTAATTTTGATAGCATACAAACATTTTTATAAAGGTGTTAAAGTATTGTCATTTATTATTTATGTAGGCGACAATTGTATAACTGCAGAGAAGTGTCCATGTTTTCATAATGGCATTGAATATCCTATTGGAACATCTTTAAACATGAATGGATGTGATAATTGGTGAGTCAAACGAGATAAGTCAAGTTGGTGATGCATTTCACTCTCATAAAATTATTTAGATATAAACAAGCAAAAGTAGAACGGAAATAATTTGCTGTTAAAAATCAAAAGACTAATTAAAAAATAAGAATATGAAATGTCTGACTTACGAATCACGATAAAAATTTGTTCCCATTTACATGTTCAATTTTGTACTTTCAGATAATTAACACAAAAATAGCATTCCTTTTACGAAGGAATGTTAATGTAAGAAATACTTAAATTACAGTAAGTTATTTCTTACTTTATTATTCCTTCGAAAAAGGAATGCAGCATTCCTTTTACGAAGGAATGTTAATGTAAGAAATAACTTACAGAAAGTTATTTCTTACCTTAATATTCCTTCGAAAAAGGGATGCTATAATTGTGTTATTTATCTAAAAGTCAGAAAATTAGTAATACTTGTGTAAATCCTTAACCCCAACATTTCTTTAAAAAATAAAAGAATAAAAGGCATGACCAAGAGAACATATACAGTACATCAATGTTTTGTCATGTATAAAAGAAACATGTGTCTGTTAATGATCTTTTCCAGCGTTTGTATGGGCGGAAAATTTAATTGTTCAGAGAGCGTATGTAATAAAACTTGTGAAAGTGAACAGTTTATGTGCAGTGATGGTGCTTGTATTAATATTGAATTTTTGTGTGATGGCATAACTGATTGCACAGACAACAGTGATGAAACAAACTGTGGTATGTTTTTCATTTTAATGTAGCATTATTAAAGCGGTTCCCTGCTTCATTATAAAATTATTGAAAAAAATGGCAAATATGCTATCGCCAATTATATCATTGTTCTAAAAAAAAAGCGAGTGTCATAAGTTGTAAAAGTTAGAGAGGAGTGTGAAGTGGTTGTTTACAAGCAATCCGCTTAATGTTAAAACCGGTTAGCCAATTAAAAAAATACATGAACAATCTTGCCTTAAACAATATCCAAATTTTTTTGTTTTGTTTCCGAAAGTACATCATAAATTATATTACACGCGATCAACATTAAACGGCAATATCACGTTATTTGCGATGCGTTTATTGATTGCTACCGTTTTTTGTTGATCTTGTTTTTACATATTTTATGGCCACGTTGTGTAGGCACATTGTTTACGCAATATTAAGTGATGTCGTTTTTCCTCTTAAATGTTTGCGGTATAAAAACAGCTTTCATCGGCTCTACGATACCATTTACTTCAGCAAGAACATTTTCTATTATATAAAAAATTGCCATTAATATAATTGGTGTTTATACTTCCAGCGTTCAACTGCACGTCAGATCAATTCAAATGTAATAGTGGTAAATGTGTACCCAACAACGTTCTTTGTGATGGTGCAAATAACTGCATGCTTGGAGAAGACGAGTTATTCTGTGGTATTACTGATTTTTCCTAACCTTTTTCATGCACTGATTCACTTAGCGTATGGTATTAATGTGTACGTTACTTATCGAATTTCTCATATTGAAAGTAAGTTAGTATGTATGCTAATTTCATACTAGCAAGCGTATTTATTTACTTGTATGTAAATACTAACATAGGAGTTCACAATCTTAATCAAGTGAAAATATTTTACTTTTTTATAATAAAGTGACGACGTGTGAAGAAGACGAGTTCAGATGTGAAATTGGTGTTTGTATTCCGTTGTCATGGAGATGTGACGACATTAAGGACTGTGGAGAGTTTGATTCGTCTGACGAGATAAATTGTACAGGTAAGACGTCTGTGTTTCATTTCTTATACACAATGTACTCATATATGCTTACATATCTAATTATTCGTATAGTCAAACAAAAACTATGAAAAAGGCAATGTACGAGAAAAGTAAACTTAAACAATATGTTTTTTGATTAATTTAGGATTATAGAACAAAAAACAAAAATAATTACGTTCGAAATATTTCAGAAGCTTGTAATTCTGTTGATCAGTTCCGTTGTGACAATGGAAATTGTGTTCCTGGGACACTAAGATGTGATCAACATGATGACTGTGGTGACGGAAGTGACGAGATTGATTGTGGTAAGTCATTTCTCTTTGCCGTTTTTTTTAATTCCTTAGAATATTTAATGACATAAATCGATCAGACCCAATATCCAACGCTTTGTATTCTTATTAATAAGTAAGACTAATTTCAAACAAATGCAACGTTTAGAACGTTAAATACTAGTATATCTGATTGGCACTACCTTTGTTTATATTTGATTTACATACCTGAGAGTGAAAGATGTTGAACTTTCCATCATCTGTGACTGACAGAGTTTGCAATTTTCATCAATCAGTTTTTGTTCATTGCTCTCCAGAGATCTCCTTCTCCAGAATTTTTATTTGAAATTACTATTAAACTAACTTTATCTATATTTGTTTTATCCGTATTTATATCTAAACTATAAAACCGTTACTTTCATCTTAACAGAGTTAACAACTATTCTAAAAACAACGGTCGGCATTGCTAGTAGTATATCAACGACACATTTGCCTATGAGCACTACAACTGCGAAATCTTCATCTGCGGAAACTTCCAATATATCAACTTCAACTGCAACACCAAACATAACTAGCAGTACTCCATCTGTGACAACTTCAGTGTTTCAGACTGGACAAGCGGGCTTGCCATTCACAACAAACATTCCCGAGTCAATTATCGCTTCAACTGGCCAATCTGAAAGCCCCATCTCATCAGTCTCTCCTGGTCAATCCAAAATATCACCTATTTATGGTAGTTCTAAAGTACAAGAAACGCCATTTACAAGTACAGCTCAATCTGTAACCACGTCCTCTTCTGAAAAGGAACAGACAAGTGCGCCATCCACTGCAACCATTCCAGTGTCAACTGCTGCAACAAAATTGACATCGCAATCATCATTGCAATCCGGTTCTACTATGCATGAAACGTCAATTTCACATGCCACCGGTGTCCCAACCACGAAAACAATAGGTGCATCTGAAAAGGTTACCCATGCTCAAAGTACTGGTACAGCCCAATCTTCTTCAAAATCAGTATCTGAGTCAGGACAGTTAGGTTTTTCAGTAGCTGTTTCGACAGGAGTAACTTATGCAACAACATCCAGTCCGGTACCAAGAGTAACTAGTACGGTTCAGCTTCAAACGACCTCAGCATCTGAGATAGGAAAGTCTGGTAGAACATACACAGCCAGTGTAACCGAGTCAAATACTATACCTGCAGGTCAATCCGAAACATCATCTATTTATGGTAGTTCTAAAGTACAAGAAACGCCATTTACACAAATTACAAGTGTCCCCGCCAGTATGCCGGAAATTGCTTCATCGAAAGAGGTAAGCCATGCTTCACCCACAGGTAAAGGCCCATCTGTTACAACCTCAGTATATGAGACAGGATATGCAAGTACGTCATCCGGTACATCTGAAGCAATTACTCGTGTTACAACTGTTAGTGCTAAACCAATATTAACCAGTTCGGCTCCTTCTGTAACAACCTCAATTTCTGAGATAGGACAAGCAGGAACTACATTAGAAGCAATTGCTCCAGGCTCAAGTATTGCATCTGGTAGCCAATCACTTTCCTCACTACAACCTCTTTCCACAGTACATGGAACATCAACTCCACATGTCATACATGTTTCAAGTACAGCTCCATCTGTAACCACGTCTTCTTCTGAAAAGGAAGAGACAAGTGCGCCATCCACTGCAAGCATTCCAGTGCCAACTGCTGGAACAAAATTGACATCGCAATCATCATTGCAATCCGGTTCTACTTTGTATGAAACGTCAATTTCACATGCCACCAGAGTCCCAACCACGGAAACAATAGGTGCATCTGAAAAGGTTACCCATGCTCAAAGTACTGGTACAGCCCAATCTTCTTCAAAATCAGTATCTGAGTCAGGACAGTTAGGTTCATCGGTAGCTGTTTCGACAGGAGTAACTTATGCAACAACATCCAGTCCGGTACCAAGAGTAACTAGTACGGTTCAGCTTCAAACGACCTCAGCATCTGAGACAGGAAAGTCTGGTAGAACATTCACAGCCAGTGTAACTGAGTCAAATACTATACCTGCAGGTCAATCCGAAACATCACCTATTTATGGTAGTTCTAAAGTACAAGAAACGCCATTTACACAAATTACAAGTGTCCCCGCCAGTGTGCCGGAAATTGCTTCATCGAAAGAGGTTACCCATGCTTCATCCACAGGTAAAGGCCCATCTGTTACAACCTCAGTATATGAGACAGGATATGAAAGTACGTCATCCGGTACATCTGAAGCAATTACTCGTGTTACAACTGTTAGTGCTAAACCAATATTAACCAGTTCGGCTCCTTCTGTAACAACCTCAATTTCTGAGATAGGACAAGCAGGAACTACATTAGAAGCAATTGCTCCAGGCTCAAGTATTGCATCTGGTAGCCAATCACTTTCCTCACTACAACCTCTTTCCACATTGCATGGAACATCAACTCCACATGTCATACATGTTTCAAGTACAGCTCCATCTGTAACCACGTCTTCTTCTGAAAAGGAAGAGACAAGTGCGCCATCCACTGCAAGCATTCCAATGTCAACTGCTGGAACAAAATTGGCATCGCAATCATCATTGCAACCCGGTTCTACTATGCATGAAACGTCAATTTCACATGCCACCAGTGTCCCAACCACGGAAACAATAGGTGCATCTGAAAAGGTTACCCATGCTAAAAGTACTGGTACAGCCCAATCTTCTTCAAAATCAGTATCTGAGTCAGGACAGTTAGGTTCATCGGTAGCTGTTTCGACAGGAGTAACTTATGCAACAACATCCAGTCCGGTACCAAGAGTAACTAGTACGGTTCAGCTTCAAAGGACCTCAGCATCTGAGACAGGAAAGTCTGGTGGAACATTCACAGTCAGTTTAACCGAGTCAAATACTATACCTGCAGGTCAATCCGAAACATCACCTATTTATGGTAGTTCTAAAGTACAAGAAACGCCATTTACACAAATTACAAGTGTCCCCGCTAGTGTGCCGGAAATTGCTACATCGAAAGAGGTTAGCCATGCTTCACCCACAGGTAAAGGCCCATCTGTTACAACTTCTGAATATGAGACAGGATATACAGGTACATCATCCGGTACATCTGAAGCAGTTACTCGTGTAACAACTGCTAGTGCTAAACCAATATTAACCAGTTCGGCTCCTTCTGTTACAACCTCAATTTCTGAGATAGGACAAGCAGAACCTACATTAGAAGCAATTGCTCCAGGGTCAAGTATTGCATCTGGTAGCCAATCACTTTCCTCACTACAACCTCTTTCCACAGTGCATGGAACATCAACTCCACATGTCATACATGTTTCAAGTACAGCTCCATCTGTAACCACGTCTTCTTCTGAAAAGGAAGAGACAAGTGCGCCATCCACTGTAAGCATTCCAGTGCCAACTGTTGGAACAAAATTGACATCGCAATCATCATTGCAATCCGGTTCTACTTTGTATGAAACGTCAATTTCACATGCCACCAGAGTCCCAACCACGGAAACAATAGGTGCATCTGAAAAGGTTACCCATGCTCAAAGTACTGGTACAGCCCAATCTTCTTCAAAGTCAGTATCTGAGTCAGGACAGTTAGGTTCATCGGTAGCTGTTTCGACAGGAGTAACTTATGCAACAACATCCAGTCCGGTACCAAGAGTAACTAGTACGGTTCAGCTTCAAACGACCTCAGCATCTGAGACAGGAAAGTCTGGTGGAACATTCACAGTCAGTGTAACCGAGTCAAATACTATACCTGCAGGTCAATCCGAAACATCACCTATTTATGGTAGTTCTAAAGTACAAGAAACGCCATTTACACAAATTACAAGTGTCCCCGCTAGTGTGCCGGAAATTGCTACATCGAAAGAGGTTAGCCATGCTTCACCCACAGGTAAAGGCCCATCTGTTACAACTTCTGAATATGAGACAGGATATACAGGTACATCATCCGGTACATCTGAAGCAGTTACTCGTGTAACAACTGCTAGTGCTAAACCAATATTAACCAGTTCGGCTCCTTCTGTTACAACCTCAATTTCTGAGATAGGACAAGCAGAACCTACATTAGAAGCAATTGCTCCAGGGTCAAGTATTGCATCTGGTAGCCAATCACTTTCCTCACTACAACCTCTTTCCACAGTGCATGGAACATCAACTCCACATGTCATACATGTTTCAAGTACAGCTCCATCTGTAACCACGTCTTCTTCTGAAAAGGAAGAGACAAGTGCGCCATCCACTGCAAGCATTCCAGTGCCAACTGCTGGAACAAAATTGACATCGCAAACAACATTGCAATCCGGTTCTACTTTGTATGAAACGTCAATTTCACATGCCACCAGAGTCCCAACCACGGAAACAATAGGTGCATCTGAAAAGGTTACCCATGCTCAAAGTACTGGTACAGCCCAATCTTCTTCAAAATCAGTATCTGAGTCAGGACAGTTAGGTTCATCGGTAGCTGTTTCGACAGGAGTAACTTATGCAACAACATCCAGTCCGGTACCAAGAGTAACTAGTACGGTTCAGCTTCAAAAGACCTCAGCATCTGAGACAGGAAAGTCTGGTAAAACATTCACAGCCAGTGTAACTGAGTCAAATACTATACCTGCAGGTCAATCCGAAACATCACCTATTTATGGTAGTTCTAAAGTACAAGAAACGCCATTTACACAAATTACAAGTGTCCCCGCCAGTGTGCCGGAAATTGCTTCATCGAAAGAGGTTACCCATGCTTCATCCACAGGTAAAGGCCCATCTGTTACAACTTCTGAATATGAGACAGGATATACAGGTACATCATCCGGTACATCTGAAGCAGTTACTCGTGTAACAACTGCTAGTGCTAAACCAATATTAACCAGTTCGGCTCCTTCTGTTACAACCTCAATTTCTGAGATAGGACAAGCAGAACCTACATTAGAAGCAATTGCTCCAGGGTCAAGTATTGCATCTGGTAGCCAATCACTTTCCTCACTACAACCTCTTTCCACAGTGCATGGAACATCAACTCCACATGTCATACATGTTTCAAGTACAGTTCCATCTGTAACCACGTCTTCTTCTGAAAAGGAAGAGACAAGTGCGCCATCCACTGCAAGCATTCCAGTGCCAACTGCTGGAACAAAATTGACATCGCAATCATCATTGCAATCCGGTTATACTTTGTATGAAACGTCAATTTCACATGCCACTAGAGTCCCAACCACGGAAACAATAGGTGCATCTGAAAAGGTTACCCATGCTCAAAGTACTGGTACAGCCCAATCTTCTTCAAAATCAGTATCTGAGTCAGGACAGTTAGGTTCATCGGTAGCTGTTTCGACAGGAGTAACTTATGCAACAACATCCAGTCCGGTACCAAGAGTAACTAGTACGGTTCAGCTTCAAACGACCTCAGCATCTGAGACAGGAAAATCTGGTAGAACATTCACAGCCAGTGTAACCGAGTCAAATACTATACCTGCAGGTCAATCCGAAACATCACCTATTTATGGTAGTTCTAAAGTACAAGAAACGCCATTTACACAAATTACAAGTGTCCCCGCTAGTGTGCCGGAAATTGCTACATCGAAAGAGGTTAGCCATGCTTCACCCACAGGTAAAGGCCCATCTGTTACAACTTCTGAATATGAGACAGGATATACAGGTACATCATCCGGTACATCTGAAGCAGTTACTCGTGTAACAACTGCTAGTACTAAACCAATATTAACCAGTTCGGCTCCTTCTGTTATAACCTCAATTTCTGAGATAGGACAAGCAGAACCTACATTAGAAGCAATTGCACCAGGGTCAAGTATTGCATCTGGTAGCCAATCACTTTCCTCACTACAACCTCTTTCCACAGTGCATGGAACATCAACTCCACATGTCATACATGTTTCAAGTACAGCTCCATCTGTAACCACGTCTTCTTCTGAAAAGGAAGACACAAGTGCGCCATCCACTGCAAGCATTCCAGTGCCAACTGCTGGAACAAAATTGACATCGCAATCATCATTGCAATCCGGTTCTACTTTGCATGAAACGTCAATTTCACATGCCACGAGTGTCCCAACCACGGAAATAATAGGTGCATCTGAAAAGGTTACCCATGCTCAAAGTACTGTTACCGCCCAATCTTCTTTAAAATCAGTATCTGAGTCAGGACAGTTAGGTTCATCAGTAGCTTTTTCGACAGGAGTAACTTATGCAACAACATCCAGTCCGGTACCAAGAGTAACTAGTACGGTTCAGCTTCAAACGACCTCAGCATCTGAGACAGGAAAGTCTGGTGGAACATTCACAGCCAGTGTAACTGAGTCAAATACTATACCTGCAGGTCAATCCGAAACATCACCTATTTATGGTAGTTCTAAAGTGCAAGAAACGCCATTTACACAAATTACAAGTGTCCCCGCCAGTGTACCGGAAATTGCTTCATCGAAAGAGGTTACTCATGCTTCACCCACAGGTAAAGGCCCATCTGTTACAACCCCAGTATATGAGACAGGATATGCAAGTACGTCATCCGGAACATCTGAAGCAATTACTCGTGTTACAACTGCTAGTGCTAAACCAATATTTACCAGTTCGGTTCCTTCTGTAACAACTTCAATTTCTGAGATAGGACAAGCAGGATCTACATTAGAAGCAATTGCTCCAGGCTCAAGTATTGCATCTGGTAGCCAATCACTTTCCTCACTACAACCTCTTTCCACATTGCATGGAACATCAACTCCACATGTCATACATGTTTCAAGTACAGCTCCATCTGTAACCACGTCTTCTTCTGAAAAGGAAGAGACAAGTGCGCCATCCACTGCAAGCATTCCAATGTCAACTGCTGGAACAAAATTGGCATCGCAATCATCATTGCAACCCGGTTCTACTATGCATGAAACGTCAATTTCACATGCCACCAGTGTCCCAACCACGGAAACAATAGGTGCATCTGAAAAGGTTACCCATCCCCAAAGTACTGGTACAGCCCAATCTTCTTCAAAATCAGTATCTGAGTCAAGACAATCAGGTTCATCGGTAGCTGTTTCGACAGGAGTCATTTATGCAACCACTACCAGTCCGATACCAAGAGAAACTCATACGGTTCAGCTAGAACCAACCTTTGCATCTCAGACAGGACAGTCTGGCACAACATTCACAGCAAGTGTAACCGAGTCAAGTACTTTACTTGCAGGTCAATCCGAAACATCACCTTTTTATAGTAGTTCTGAGGTACATGAAACGTCAGGTACACCTGTTACAAGTATATCCGCGAAGTTGCCCGTAATCACTACAGCTAATGAAGTAAGCCATATCTCAATTACTGGTAAAGGTCCTTCTGCAACTGTAACGGCTCCGCCTGTAAAACCTTTAACAACTGAGGCTGAAGAGGCAGGTATGACATTTACCTCAAGTGTACCATGGTCAAGTATATCCTCGCAACAGTCTACTTCAGGTGAACAGTCATCAATTAGAACAGAAAAAGTTTCCTATTCAGTCAGTTCTTCTGTATTTCCGTCAACTATTTCAGCTGCTGCATCCATCTCTCAGAAAGAAACTTCAAATATACTAACAAAACTCGAAATCCCTATCTTATACACCACAAGATATATACCATCAAAACACGGTTCGACGGCGCATGGAATGTCTACGAAACATGTTTCAAGTCTTCCAACCTCTGTTTCCGGAAGAACACCGACTACGTCTAGTGGTGTTACGCATTCAGCCATATCAGGTATGTCACCAAAAATTACTAGAACGACTCGGTCTTTAAACGACCTTTATATCTGAGACAGATCAGACTGCAACAAAATTTGTAAGATTTCCCTCCAGAAATAATCCATCAACTCGTCACTTTGACTGTTTTTGGTTATCATCGTCCCGAGATTTGTAGGCCGCCACGGGTATCGTTAAGTATACTAAACAGTACCTATCCTTATTGGTACACGAAAAAAAGTGAATAATTTGTTGTTATTTTTGTTCGGATTGAGTGCCAGGTTTATTATCTTTCCTAAAAAAAAAACATGCACGATGCGCAAAATAATTGATTATAGCTTGAAGATTTCTTAAAAGACGTTTTCATTCTTGTTGAAAAATACTGTATACATGTACTGCTATGCATATTTGATAAAAGTAAAGAAGTCAGCGGGGAAAGTCTTCGGGTCTGTTAGTATTACCGGGTACCAAAAAGTATTTCCAGGACCATTAAGCACTTTTCGATCGTTTTGGGGTACATGTATATCGAGTATATTTCAAGGTACATGGTGGGCCTACAAACAGTACCCGGGATGGTAATAACCCCAA